GGCACGACCATCGTGCATGCCTAAACAAAATCGAGACTCGTCACTAAAGACAATACTGTTCCATTCCTGATCCCAGAGTGACCGTTGTCTGCACCACTGAAGGCGATTACGTCGGTATTCTTGAGTTAAAGGGAGGACCCAGTGTGGCCGGTATGAAAACAAGCCAAAACTTCTCATTCGTCGGTAAACACTTCGCATGCCAATAGGTCTTCCGTGTTCTGCAAACCATTCATTTGCAATGGACCTGGTAGTGGAGAAACGGTCCCTTAAGGCCAATAATCTTAGGCGGCGATCTTCACGGTCTGTTGTTCTACGGCGGCGTCCAGTGCCCCTTGCTCTTTGCGTACGGCCTTCTAGAAGCCATGCCTGACAACACCTAACCACAGTGTTTACACTTCTTTGCACTCTAACTGCAATTGCCCGAAAAGAAAGTCCAGCTTCCCGAAGTCCCACTATACGGCCCCTATCAAACTCACTAAGTTGACGAAATCGTACAGGTCTCCGTACTCTAGGCACCGTAACCGATCGTAAAGGATGTCAAGAACCAAAATCCGCCAACGTTGATTCTTTACTGCGGCTAAAATATTCATTTTTAGAGCGTTAGTGAATTTAAAAAAAGCAGTATAAAAACCGGAATGTCCAACTGATAAGGCTGAAAATTTGTTCACTTGTTATTTACAGTAAGATAAATACATTCACCAACTTTTATTAAAATAAAACCATTTAAACTGGGTGTTCGGATTTATATGTCACTTAGTATACAAACCACGGCAGGTATCTATCTACAGCTGCTCTCCGTGGCGACGTTGATTGAGACTTCATCCACTTGGTCCTGATGAATCCAATAAGTAGAAAACGTATGTCGCTTGGGATACCAATCCTTTTTGTGCTCCTGTTCCTTTATTGTGGAAAGCTCACGATTGTCCTTTGATTTTCATCTACGTTTCCGCGGGACTACTTTTCTTTCTTTGTCTAGCTGTAATATTTTCACGGCAGAATCTGCTTTGGAAAATATGAATCTCAAAATATCCTTTTTCGAGAAAAAATATTTACACGTAAGAACTGAAAGTGATCTACCCACTCGAATAGTTCATTACATATTACATACCTAAGTTGAGACCTGAGCCATTATTGCTCGAGCATTTTTATATTCTGAGGCGCGTATCGACTCGCATAAATACGAGTATTACATATAATGAAGGATCTATCAAGGTGTAATTTAGAAAACTATGTTTCCATTAATGTCTTGCTGACATCATGTTACGGGCTTTTCCATTCTAAGATGTCCTATGCACTCCTCAGCTGGGACCATTCAGCACATATGCAAAGGTGTTTGCAATGCAGACATGTTGTATTAGATGTATCTGTGGTTTAGGTATGCATGTATAGATGATTTTGTCTACCTGAAAATATTAACCCTACCTCGCTGTACATGCCAACTTGATTATTGTGATACGCACAGCTTATACCCGTAATGACCACAATTTAAATTTACCACAGTGACGTCTACGAACTACTAGAAATGGTATTAATTACCAGGAAAATCCCTGCTATAATGCAATTTCCGATTATGTAAGCTCCTTAGCGATGAGCCTTTCAAAATGAAACGAAATTCTTCTTGATTAACAAAGCATACTACAACTTTGACGAGTCTTCATCAGTGACTTTTCAGAATTGCAGTGGATCTTTTTATTTCGTTTTTGTTTTTTTTATTAATTACTGTAATTGTAATAGTGGTGTTTATTCATCTCGTGTATACGAGGGATGTCTGGAAATAAAACAACACTGTTCTGAGTTTTAAATGACATTATTGTTTTTCGAAGCACTTATTCCACTCGTTTGCTTACAGATCCAAAACGGCATTTTTGAATGCGTCAACTGCTTCTTCTGGTGACTGGAACCTTTGACCACGCAGTCTGTTTTTAATTTTCGGGAAAGTAAAGAAATCTTTAGGACTTAGATCGTGACTATATGGAGGATGGTTCAATAAATAAACGTCTTCTTCCGTTAAATACTGCCTTGTTTTTGGGCTGTGTGCGAGCTGGCACTGTGTTGGTGGAGGACGAGTCTTCTTTCGTGGTTGATTTTTCGAATCTCGGTGATGTCTTTTGGCAAACAAATGGTGGTATACCAATCCGCAGTAACAGTTATTTGCTCATTAAGAGGAATTGTTGCAATATGACCCGCTTTTGACACAAATGTCGCGACCATCTGTTTCGAAACACTGAGAACGGATGAGTTTTGTTGGCTTTTCTTCACCTTGGAACACTCAAACAGCCGACTGTCATTTATTTTCTGGTCCATAACAGTAAATCCAAGATTCATCACCACTAACAATGCTATACACATTTTTTGAGTTTCCGGAATTTGAACGGTCAAGCGCTTTTTGACACCAATTAACCCAACCATACTATAACTATCTAAAACTGTAATGACTCATCGATGTTCACGTGAACATCACTTAACTACCAGTAGTCGGCTGTTCATAGGCGGGGTAAGAATGTTTAACATGGGTGAACTAGATTTGTCACATGCTTAATAAAGAATGGTTTGAAACATATTGAAAGTCAAAAATTTGGGAATTACCTTTATTCATCGTCGCTTCCACTTACATCTGACAGTAATAAACTGTCGCTATCGCTTTCCTCGTTAAAATTGACTATAACTGGCTCTATGATGGTGTCGATGTGGTGGTCAAGCTGCCACATTTTTGTTTCTTCCTTCACAACATGACGGATAGCATTCTGCCAAGCTTCGGGCATTACTAGCTGTATGGAAGTCTCAAGTAAAACCTTAACGTCTGGTAATTTGAAGGTTGTGTTATGGCGCGCAGTATAACCCTTCGCTTGAGCCCAGATGAGCTCTATTGGGTTCAGTTCACAGTGGTAGGGCGGTAACCGCAGCACAGTGACACCACATTGACGGGCCATCTCATCAGTCACGTAACTAATGTTCGCAGGTTTGTGCTGTTTAATTTTTTCATACAATTCCGCTTTCACACATGAATCGTCAAACGGGATTCCTTTTTCGCGCAACCATTGCTGCATGTCACTTTTTCGAGATTCCATAGTCGGTACACATTCGGCTCGACGACTATGGTAGGAGGCATTATCCATGACGATCACAGAGTTGGGCTCAACTCGCTGAAGTACCCCTTGAAACCAGCTCTCGAAGCAGCTGGCATTCATTTCGTCATGGTAATCACCTCCTTTCTTAGAGACGAAAATCAAGTCACACTCTTCTAAAAAGCCACTATCGCTACCAATATGAGTTACGATCAATCTTTGACCTTTCCCTGACGGTCCACGAAGACCTGTTGACAAACCTTCAATGCTTGCTTGTCGGTTACTCACTACGTTTTTGTCTATCCAGGTTTTTTTAACTGTGTGACCTGCATTTACCCATGTCTCGTCCAAATAATAGATTTTTCTGCTTTGTCGCCTATATTCAATCATTTCGCGTAGGTATTTTCGACGCCAGGCGACTATTTCAGGTCTCTCTATCAATACTGACTTCCGATTACGCGTTTCGTAACGAAAATTAATTTACGTGCAGCGATTTCCTCATTACCTCGACGCTCATTTGGGGTATAATTTCATTTTCCTTGATCGCTGCATGTACAGCATTGAGGGTTGGTATCTCATTCCTAAAGAAGAATGAATGTACGGTTCGCCTTAACGCCATTTTGCTATCGTCATCCAATTTAACGGCCTTTCGTCCCTTCAAATTAAACTTTGGATCAGTAGTAGCTCCAGTTTTCTTCTTTTCATGCACCACCCTGCGAATGGTCCACTCTGGAACGCCTGTCATACTTTCACAACGCGCGAGTACATCTCCCTGCGACATAGTTCAGATAATTGAACACGTTGAGCACGATTTCTTCCGCGTCCCTCTTCAGTGTTTTACGAAGCCGTCTACTTGTTCCCTGGCTTTCAGTACTTCCACTCGTGTCATTTGTACTCTCCATGGTTAAGTATAACCAAAACAGTAACCACAGAAACCACAACAATAACAATCACACAACAATTCTTATAAAAACACACAATATGCGATCGCTCAACGAAACACGTTCCAATGCGTTGCCGACGCCTATGAGTCTGCCGGTCGAGGCGCGTCTCTGATTTCATTGGTTCTACCGGCGGAGAACAATCAGCCATTATTTCCATCTCTGTCTGTGCTGTTGACCACCGCAAAGCCACAGAAACGACATATGTCGTACGCTATACGGCTGTACTGCAAGGAAGCCGGGATCGAGCTCTGATCACGTGTTGATCACGCGTATGAGTCATTACAGTTTTAAATAGTTGTAGTATAGAAACTATTTTTTTTACTCCTAATTCATCATGTAAAATTTTTTGAATTGAGGTCTTTGAGATCTTCAAGGACGCCTCGATCCCGCGATCTCTCACATGTCTATCTTCAATGATGAGTTTGCGCACAGCATCGACGTTTTCCTGGGTGACTGCCGTGTTGGTGCACCCACCCTGGAATCGTCGCTAAGATTCGCCCGTCCACGTTTGAATTCTTCATACCAACGGGAAACTGTCGACTGATGTGGCGCTTCGTTGCCGAAAACAGACAGTAACTCAGCAAGGCATTCTTGTTGCGATAATTGTCTCTGAAAGTTGTAATAAATTATGGCGCGAAAATGTTCTCGGTAGAGTTCCATTTTTCTAATGACTTGGTGACACCTAAAAATTCACTGTAGTTAGAACACTGCACGTATTGTTGTGAAACTTTGAATTTAAGCTTACTAAAGAGTGAGGTTAAGATTCAGGACTGACGTCCGATCCGCGCGGCCTACTATGTTTCTATATACAAAACTTAAAAGACATCCCTCGTATATTTTCAGGTTTATTGTTGCAGTTTTATTTTATTGCTGATAAATGTGGTCATTGCCTTTTTTGACTTCTGCAAACACGCTCTGTGTATTTGGCTGTAAATAAAGAATTGAAGTTAGATCTAGGATATTTATAGATGTTTGCGTTTTTTCATTCCAGATGTAGAAAAGGAGCGGGCTCTGAGCACGACAACGCTCTCGAACAATATGTACGAACAAATATGCGTGCCTGAACTGGACCCCTTCATCGACTACACGCAAGCTCATTCTGTACTTTCCTCTGAAGACAGGAAGCCATTAGCGACTAACCCTTCACCGACCAATAACAATTTTCTACATGAAGGTAAGTGCAGTAGTTATGCATACACCATCAAGCTCTTCCTGGACCGACTGATATTTCAGGAGCGTTTTGCTTGATTTACCGCGTAGGTTCTCGTGTCTACTTCAAAGTAGTACTTTTTTTCCGACATACCAACAGAATTTTGAGTTTGATTCAACGGTGTCACCTGCTGAGTTCGTTTGACAAGCTCGGCCATACTGTCAAGAATGGGGTGACACGGTATGAAATTTGACATAAACAATTCGTTCTGCAACTAGCAACCTGAACATCATTTGTGTTAGTCGGAGTAACTCGGTACTACCAAACACCTACCAGTACCGACCCATTGTTATAGACTCTAGAGTGTCATGAACCTGAACTACTCATTTTTTAAATCACCTGTCCCCTCACGCACTAGCTTTTTATTCAGTGTTATATGCTCCGAAAATGACAATGTTTAAAATTGTTAGGTTAAGTTTTTTACATTTTTTTGTTTTCTGCAATTAACTCACAACAAAAACTGATATTGTACGACAAATAGTCACAACATACACTTGAGATGTTCCTGAATAATGGAGATCATAAGAGAGCGCAAGAAGGCAAGTTCTTAGCGGCTTTAGGTTGGCTTCATCTGATTGAAAGAAAAAACGCCGAGTCACATCAAAAAGACGTGTCAGTGGGGACAACTTTTTAAACAAAAATTACTTCACCCTCAGCCCACCAGGGTCATCCCCTTAAAAATTCTAAATGACAGGAGGTATGGAGTAATAGCTTATTTGAAAGGTCTTCCGAAGTCCTTTATTTTGACGTGTGACATTTTGAAATCGGTCGATTCGTTTTCAAGAAAATTAGAAAAATCTTTATTTATCTTAATTTATTCAGATGGAAAACAAAAACACACGAAAATACCACTTATTATTTAAATAAACGTTCAAAATGTTGCCTGTCAGGGTCTGCCAAATCTACAATTCGTTTATAGTGTAAAACGGAAACTGTCGACATAAACAGCAATTCGGAATATTAGACGTGGCAACAACCAAATAACAACCCGAATTTTTTCCGCATTCCCAGATATCCTAGGCGTACTGTATTTATTGTTGTACCTGTTTAGTTATTTGTTGCTAAGAGAAAAGAAAAATTAATTTGCTGTCAGTTACCTTTATGACAATCTTAGGATATTGAAAATTAATTTATTGATTCAGATTTTACTACCAAAATGGTAAAATATTGTAAGAGCTAACCGAAGATGATTTTTATAGGCGAGTTGACTTTTGTAGACAAATAATAATAATAATAATAAACTGTCTTTTATTTTCAAAGAAAATTCAGTACTAATATAAAAAATATATACAGGTTGTCCCGCGAGGTAAGGAACAAAATTTTTCTGCGTGTTCCTCAGGTCAATTCGAGTTGAAAAAGTCGTATAAACATGGGTCCGTAAATGCTTCCTTATCGAGATATGATTTTTTTATTTTTGGTGGGCGAAAACCACAATATTGTTGAAAAATTGCTTTATATAACAAAAAATTTAATACTGTTCGTATTTAAACAACTGTTTACAATAATTAAAGTCCACAATCACGTTGTACTGCCCGATTAATACGCTGCTGTTTGTTTGTTGACGGAGTACGAGCCCCTTCCCACTTCAGTTGGCCCAACTATTGAAATTTTAGTTTTTTTCTTATCAAACACAAATAATAAAAATGTAGCAGGGTGTTATAGGTTTAAAATATTAACGATGAATATTTTGATAATATATAGTAGAAAACACCAACTTTATCACTCCCTAATCAAATTTGCAACATAAAAATAACACATGTTGCGATTACAGTATATCAACCTATTTTCATTTCAATGCAAAATAAGTCTATAACGCATAGGTGGCTGTGAAAAATAAAAGCCATGACGATTGTTTTTATTAATCACAGCTGTCAGAATACTTTTAAAATAGTTTTGGGTAGTTAAGGTTTTCAAAATTGGTAGAGGAAAGGTTATTAGTGAGAAAATTCGGTTACTGATAATTAAATTTTTTAATTCTGGGAAATCAAACTCAGAAATTGCAACTTTGTTAGACTTATCGCGGTACAGTGTGAGAAATATTGTTAGAAGATATAACGTAACTGGTTCAGTTAATATTAAGCCACGATATGAAAAAAAAGTAATATCACAAATGCCGACCGAAGAGCATTAAGAAGAATAATCGTGAAAAACAAGCGTGCCAATTATTTACAATTAAGTGCTCTGTGGAGTGACGCTGTTGGAAGGAGAATGTCGAGGTCCACAACTCATAGAGAGGCCCACAAACTTGCAAGGTAAGTTTTCTTATAAAAAAAGGTGAAGTAAAAACCCTAAAGTTGCACAACTTGTTTATAGGCCAAAGAAAAGCCACTATTAACTCCACTGCAAAAGAAAAATCGGCTTAGACGGGCTAAAGAACATCGACAATGGACACCTCAACAATGGTGTGCAATACAATGGAGTGATGAGGCACGATTCGAAGTTTGTGTTGGTGACAGTCGCAATAGAGTTATTCCCAAAAAAATGAAGCATTCCATGTTGACTGTCTGAATAGAAAAGTGAAATTTCCAGCATCCATTATGGTCTGGGGCAGTATGTTATCAAAAGGAGTAGCAAAACCTCATTTTATTGATAGAAATGTGGATACAAACAAATATTTGAAAATTTTAGAAGAATCGCTTTTACCAGTGATGGAAGAATGTTTGACGTCCGGCCAAGATTTTGTGTTTCAGCAAGATGGTGCAGCGTGCCATACCTCAAAAAGGCTATAAAATGGATGGAAGAAAATAATGTACCACTTTTGAAATGGGTTTCTAACAGTCCAGATCTGTCACCTATTGAAACTTTGTGGCACGAGATGAAAAAGGTTCTACGACAACACCCTGCTCGTACAATCACCGAACTGAGACAAAAGCTTCAAGAAATATGGGATTGTTTTACACCAAATTTTTTCCAAAACTTGGTTAACACTATGCCCCAAAGAATTTCAGCCGGAATAAAAAATAAAGGTGATGTTACCCAATGGTAATCTTTCAATTGTTGCTTTGTTAACTTCGCGCATTCATTCGCATATTGTTTATTTGTTCAGATGTTCTATTAGTTATAGGTATGTGATTTCAAATATGTATGTTTTACGACTAGAGTGTGTCTAAAATGTTTTTGAGAATAAAATTGTTTTAGAAGTAAATAGTTTTGTCATGTTTATTTTATAAAGGCATATTTTGGTACAAATCTTGAAGTGGGCCAACTGAAGTGGGAAGGGGCTCGTAGGTCCTGATTTCTAAGATATTTTCATCTCCTACAAATTTTCTGTAGACTACCTATGCCAAAACTTTATCTATCTATCCATTTGTCTGGCCGTTACCGAACCGAAAGAACATAATGAGGAGGAGCGCCGATTTTGGAAATATATTCAAGCCTCATCAAGTATATATAGCGTTTCCATCCACTTCGATTTGGTTTTTAACGGTTTCAGTAATAAGCGGATTGATGGTATTTTCCAACACATCCAACTAAATGTCTGCATTCAAATTTTCACTAATAAACAATGGCCCAATCACTTTGTTTCCTAAAATGCCTGCCCATACATTATTTTTTTTTTGAGTACTGAGTATGGCCTTATACAAAAGCTTGAGAATTTGCATTGGTCCAATATCTGCAGTTATGCTTATTAACAAACGCATTTAGATAGCATGTATATACACGGTGTCCCAGAAGTCGACGTCAAGCCGAAACCGGGTGATAGGCAAAGTCATAACAGCTATCAGAAAAATATTAAAAAAAATTTTATGTATGTGTTTTGAAAATTATAGGTGTTTGAAAAAAATATAGAAATTTCACACCCTACGGCAGTCTGTCAACTCCTGTTACTACAAATATTAACTTTTTTTTGGATTTTATTTTTACAATGTAATGATGAATAATGCATCTTCAAACTGGTGTCTCAACCTTACTACCAACTTTTCTCGTTCAGGAAAAATTGCCACTTATTTCCCAACCAAGTATTCCAAAGTAAAACTTTGCTCAACTTTAACTGGCTGTACTGGAAAAAATGTACTACGAGAGTTTGGCAAGTAACCTTAAAAGTTGGCGCATTTAATAAGGATTCCAAAATGGTATAACACTTAGAAGATTACTCGTTAACTTATGCACAATTTTTATTTGAAGAAAAACTGATGAAAATTTTTCAAAATTTCCTAATTAAACAGCGATTATGAAAACGCACAAGGACCCTTAAGGATAACTGTTTGCACAACAGTGGGCGTCAAAATGCTGCTGATGATGATTTACCTTTACAGCAAATGCTTCAGCCGCAATACACGCTCGACATCTTCTTAAAAAAGATCGGGTTATTAAACGAGAGAATCCACGGTTATTAACAAACTCAGCTGCTTCCAATAGTCTTTGCCGTAGCTCAGCTACATTTTGAATCGGCTTGAAATACACCTTTTCTTTTACAGTTCCCTGGTAAAAAAATCTAAAGGATTCAAATCGGGTGATCGGGCTGGCCACGGTATTGTACCAGACCGCCTTATCCATCTGCCTGGAAAGTTTTGATCGAGATACTCTCTCACTGGGATTGCATAGTGCACTGGGCAGCCATCATGCTGAAACCACATGTCCCTGTAAATACTCAGTGGCACGTCCACCAATAAATTTTGTACATGATTTTTCAAAAAATCCAAATAAACTTCAGCAGTCAAAGTCTCTGGGAACTCAAACGGACCGATTATTTTACCATTTAAAATTCCTGTCCAATGGTTTATCTTGAAGCGATATTGAGATTTATCTTCTCTCATCAAATGTGGGTTTGCTACGTGCGACTCGTGTAAGTTATGCAGGTTCATGTACCCATCTTTCTTAAATGTGGTCTCATCCGACCATAAAATTTTTTCAAAGAACTGTGGTTCTTTCCTGTGTCTTTCTAACATTGTGCGACAAAAAGCAACTCGGGGCTCATAATCCCGGGGCAGGAGAGGTTGAACACGCTGTATGTGGTATGGATGGAGCACGTTTTTTTGCAAGATTCTATGGGTTGTCCTTTTGGGCACGAACCCTGGATTCGCTCGTTTAATAACCC